CCCCAAAACCCCAAAACCCCAAAACCCCAAAACCCCAAGATATCAGAATTTATTGAGAATAGATCATGATCAGGAAATTAGGATTGTTTCTGCATTTCCTCATCTAAGCTGTCTAATAAGTCTTCTGGATTATCGAGATACAGATGGTGGTCACTGTCATGAATAATTGATACCTTTTCCCCCCTTCTTTTAAGGAGTTGGGAGACATTAGTGCCTCCCATCTGGGTATCAATCCAATCCCGATCTCCATAGACAAATGATATTTCGATTTTATGGCTATTGAGCTTATCAAGTTCGTCATAAATCGGAGTATAAGCTAGAATAGGCATTTTCATAAGTCTAAAATTTTAATCAAACTACTTACTTGAATATAGCTTTTTCTCCAGATTGTTCTCTCATCAAAAGCTGATACAGGTACCTTCCAGCAACCTCTTTTTCAGTGTCTGTCATATTAACAAACCTTCTTTTGACATAATTTTTAATCCAGCAGCTACCGATTCATCTGCCTCAACAGAATATAATTCTTGAAGGTTTTATTTCATGCTTGAAAATAAATAGCATTGTTTTCAACATTCATTTACGACAGCAGCCTCCTCTTAGTCTTTCTTTCAGCTTTTGCTCATAATCTTCTGGCTTGGGCTCACATCCATGAGGAGACCAGAAGACTATCTTTTTAACCTTGTCAGGATATTTCAAGGCATACCTCGAAGTTATGTATGCTCCGAAGGAGTGTGCAACTATATTCATGTTGTCAAGACCTAAAGATTCTCTCCACATCTCAATGGAACAGATGTAGTAATCTTCAGCCTCTGTTTTAGTTCTGGCTAGAAACTTTGGCCTGGAAGATCTCCCCATTCCTAGAAGATCTATAGCATAAACGTGGTAATTTTCTGATAATCTTTTGAATAGCTTGAAAAAGATCAAAGCTGAGCCTCCAAAGCCATGGATTAGAACAATTTCTGGTTTACTCTTATTACCAAACTCATAAGTCATGATATACTCCTTAGTAATAGGCACAACCCTAGTAGAGCAGCAGCAAGGAAGGCATCAGCATGTCTTCCTGTGTCTTTTCTTCCTAGGTTTAATTTTCTTCCCTGTGTATGGGTCAATATTCTTATTAATAATCATCGGATTGACCATTCCCATCTCACTATCCTCTTCCAGTTGGTTATGCATACCATTCCCTTTATTCTCCTCTCTAAAACTCTGATCTCACTCAACCTGGACCTTATAAACCCTAATTTCCTCTTCTCCGAGCCCTGATAGCTCAATCATCTCCTTCTCTGCTTGCTCTAATTTCCTTTGTGAGGTACCTATATCCCTAATTAATTCTAAAATTCCTTCATGAGTTACCTTTCCAGCAGCTGTCAGGCTCGACTGTTCCTTCCTGCTCCATTTCTTCTACACTTTAAAGTGAGCTGAGTAATTATATTACAATGTGTCGTTGCACTAGAGGGGTTTTGGGGTTTTGGGGTTTTGGGG